AACCCCTCACAGAAACTAAAGACCAAAATGTTATCTTTACTATAAAAGCAACTAATAATGAAGGATACAGTGATGAAGCAACAATCATTATAGAGCCAATCGTTACTGATTTACCGAAATTCAGTGAATCTTATTACCTCGGCAGTCTTGATATCGAGAGCAAGGAATTGACGCATGATAAAATTTTGGTTGTAGCAGATAACGATGCGAAAATTGATATTAATGATGAAGGTTATTTTTTTTATTAATTAATTGGTAACATTAATTAATTAATGATTATTAATATTTTAGACCTGAAGCAGATATTCACAGTTGCATTGACAGGCCAACAAGTACTTATAACATTATCTCAGAATGCAAATATCGAAGAAATAAAAGATACGGATATTGTTCTGCCATTACAAATCACCAACAGCAATGGTGGAGCTGCAACAACGATCGTCGTTTTTGAAGTTATTAGGAAAATCGTTGAGCCAATTTCTTTTAGTAAAACCAATTACCAAGGTGAATTAAACGTTGATACAAATGTAATAAAACTAGAAGCAGAAATTAAAATCGTGAAAGGAGAAGCTGATGCGGTGAAAATTCTCGAACAAGGTAAAATATTTTTTTATATTTCTACAATATACTTACCCAATTGATTGTAATCAGCATGCACCATATTTTCCCCTAATTAATTACCTAATTAACTAAAAAAATGTTTAAAATGTGCATAACAATATATCCAATTTCCTGAGGTGCATGCATATTTAAAAACCATTGAAAATATATTTAATATATTAATTTTCTAGAATATGAGTCACAATTTGAGGTGACAATTGAACCAATTACGAAGATTGTAAATATTGAACTAAAAGAAAAACTAAATAATGTTGAACAACTTGGTTTAATATTGACCCTTGAAGTATCAAACATGAAAGGTCAATCTAGTAAGACAACGGTTGTTTTAAAATTTACGGGCAAAGCTACACAAACACAACCTATCAAATTTGAAAAACCATTTTATAAAGGAGAAGTAGACGTAGCCAGTGAGCAAATAATTATTACAGAGATTATTAAAATTACTGAAGGAGAAGTAGAAGATGTTAAAATTATTGACACAGGTAAAATAATATTTTATTGCTAAGTTCATTACCATTTGCATTATTTCGTTATTTACAATGTAATTAATATAAGTTTGCTTTATAATCACATAAGCATATTTTAAGTTCAACACATAAATATCATGGTAATTAGTAAATTATTTTTATGTTGTGGTAGAATACAATGAATATTTCCAAGCAACCCTTTCGCCTGATAAAAAAAGTGTTACAATTAAATTGGTAAACGGATTACCACCAAAAGTTGAATCCAGTATAGTTTTGGTAATTGAAGCTTTCAATGTCAAAAATGAAGTGGGTAGAACAACTCTTGTTCTAGACATTTCTGATGAAGAAACTCCAATAACATTTACTCAATTAATCTACAAGGGAAATGTAAACAAAGATAAAGAAGAAATCAATTTAGACGCAGAAATTAAAATTGAAAAAGGAGATGTTGAATCTGTTAGCATTGTTGATGGAGGTAATGTAAATTATTTAATGTTAATATCATCATACTTGCTTTTCATCATAATTTTCAATATACATTTGATTTACTTAATCAAGGATTATTTTCATTATTGCTAAAAGCGTATATCAAATTTGATGTATAAACATTCTTCTAACTAAATTATTTATTGTCTTAAAAATTGTAGCATTCAAAGAATTTTTCAAAGCAACATTTTCCGTTGAAACAAAGATTGTTACAATTGAATTCGAAAAGACATTACCATCTACAGTTGAATCTAGTATAATTCTGGTAATTGAAGCTTCCAATAAACAACATCAAGTAGGTAGAACTACTGTGGTTCTGGAAGTTCCTGATGGAGCAGTCCAAGAAACTCCAATAACATTTACTCAATTAATCTACAAGGGAAATTTAAACAAAGATAAAGAAGAAGTCAATTTAGACACAGAAATTAAAATTGAAAAAGGAGATGTTGAAACTGTCAGCATTGTTGATGGAGGTAACGTAAATTATTTAATGTTAATATCATCACTACTTGCTTTACATCATTATTTTCAATATAAATTTCATTTACTTATTAATGGATTTTATTCATTATTGTTAAAAGCGTATATCAAATTCGATGTAAAAACATTCTTCTAACTAAATTATTTTTTTGTCTTAAAAATTGTAGAATACAATGAATTTTTCAAAGCAACACTTACCGATAATAATAAGGTTGTTACAATAGAATTGGTAAAGGAATTACCTCAAATAACTAAATCCTATATAGATCTGGAAATTGAAGTTTCCAATGACAAAAAGCAAGTGGGTAAAACTGTTGTAATTTTGGAAGTAGAAAATAATTTACCAGTAGATGATTTAATTAATTTTACCGAACCATTATACAAAGGAGAGTTAAATGTAATAACGAATGAAATAACTGTGGATACAATTAAGATAGATACAGGAGCCGTTGAAATTATTAAAATCTTAGGAGGTAACTAATTTTTTTTAAATGAAAAGCGTATATAAAGAATTATAATTATTTTCTTTTAACATATCTATTAATTTATTTACAGATTATGAAAACTTATTTAAGGTTGATTATGACAAAAATACGAAAATTGTTACACTTACTGTAAGTGGTAATTTGGAAACTATTAACGAACCAAGTGTGGTCTTCACCTTGGCGGCTTACAACGCTAAGAATGAAATAGGAGGACAAACGACTGTTGTTTTGACCATAGTTGGAGATGTAATTAAGCCGTCTCCACCAACATTCGAAAAAACATATTACGAAGGTGAATTCAAAGTTGAAGGGCAATCCTTAAACATAGAAGACATACGTATTATTAAAGGCGACATCGAAAGTGTTATTGTTGTTGGAAATGGTTTGTTAGGAATATTATCGAAATTAAATATTGATTAAAATAATTAAATCATTTTAGATTACAATACTTATTTTGAGGCAAAGTACAATGAGGATACTAAATTGGTCGAAATAATTAAATTACAGGAATTAGAAAATATTTTGGATTCAAACATTGTTTTCTCTCTGGAAGCCAGTGATAAATATGGACAAAGTGCAGATGCTACTGTGGTATTAAAAGTTTTAGGCAAAGCAGAACGTAAGTGAAATTGGCTTATTTTTGGTTACTTTTAAATAAATTGTATGTTCTTAAATAGCGGAACAAGACAGAATCGTGTTTGATGAGCACGAAGTAGGTTTTATTCTTGAAGAGGCGGAGCAACTACCGAAACAACTTAATCCGTTTGTGGCTAAATCTACAAATAATAAAGATAAAATAACTTATAGGTTCATTGGTAAGTATATTATTAAAGTTAATTAAATACTTATATTCATTTTTGTTGCATTTTAAAATAGATTCTGTTCCTAATGGATTAAAGTTAGATGAAAATACAGGTGTAGTTTCAATTGTAAAGATTTTAGATAAAAGAGTATTATCTGTTAAGTTAGGTGCATCTGGTAGTGATTCTGGAAAGTCCGCCGAAACTAAAGTGAGTTATTTTGTTTTCCAATATACCCAATAATAATTAATATTTTCAGTTCGTCATATATTCTTACCAACTGCAAGGAAATGGCGAAAAAGCAACATATTCTTATATTGCTAAAAAAGTAAAAGAAGGAGTAGAAACTGCCACAACTATTTTACAACACCAAAATACTGATTACAAATACTGCTTACTGGAAAGCAACCCCAATGATGAAAAAATAACTATAAACGAAGATGGATACCTTGTGAGCAAGGAACTGGATAGAGAAGATCACGCATTTGTTGATATGATTGTACCACAATACCTGGTAACTGTAGATCTTGTAAAGAAATCAGAGAATTGTGAGAAAGCTAAAACATCTAGAATGCAAAAGGAGATAGTTGAACATATTAATATGTATGATCAAATTGAGAATTGGGAATCTAGAACTGTTGTTACCGTTTTAATTGAAGACGAAAACGATCATGACCCAATATTCGAACCATCAAAGCAGATTATTGCATACCCTGAAGAGGAAATTGCGAAAATTATACGTCCGATGTATTTGACCAAAGTTCACGTAATATTTATTATATTGTTATGTATTTCAGATATTTTAACTTATTTTATTATAGGCTACAGATTTAGATTCGAAGGATAAATTTGGAAAAATAACGTATTCTTCTGATAGCGATTATGTCGTTGTTAATGAAGATAGCGGAATCATTTACCCTACAGATAAAATATTTTCTTCTGATGACTTCGATTTCACTGTTATCGCCACTGATGGTGGTGGTAAAACTGCTGAATTAGAAGTCGAGGTACTGTTTTGAACTTTATTAAACCAACAACGTTCTTCATCGAAACTGTTTTGCAGGTGTCTTTAATCGACAAAGATAAGATTAGTATAATGTCGTTCGAAAACATTGATTTGGAAAATATTGTGGATAAGTTGCAAGAATTGTCGGAGCAATCTGGAATCAATTTGCAAGCATTGTCCATTTCAGCAGTACCATCAGAAAAATCGATGCTATTCAAAGACTACAATTATTACACTCAGGCATACGTTTATGGTGTTAAGGACAATAAAATTGTATCTTCAAATACGATAAAAGAGTTAGTAAGCACATGCTGCTGATGATATTTGTTTAACATTTAATTCGTTTTAGAAATTTTAACGACGTTACAGTTATTGAGTTCAATCCAAATACCAGTGATGGTTGTGATGCTGAAATTGAGGAATGCGATAACACCGGACTCATTGCAGGAGTTGCAGTTCTTGCAGTACTTTTAGCAGTTGTACTTGCAGGTTCCATTGCGTTTTACGTTCTTAAATTGAGGTACAGAGAATTTCTAAAATATGTAATACCAAAAACTATACAAACATATTTTTAGAAAACATAATTCGGCTTCCAACGACTTCAATCATCACAATGACGTAGAAAGGATCATTGAAAAGAATGCCGTTAGAGAACAACCAAATAAGTATATATAAATAATTTATATTTGTATTGTTAAAATAAAATTTGATTTAGTCGTAGATCTACTGGTTTTGTATTTAATTCTCCTCCACCAGAAGACGATGACGTTGATTTGAATCCTAACAATAACGAGAAAATCGGTGACGACTTTGACAGAAATTTAGAAAGACGGAAGTCCGTTTCGTTCAACGACCAAATTGAAACAATCAAAATAGATAAGACGGTTCCGGCAGAGGAGACGGAAGATAGCGATGCTAAGAAAGAGTAATCTATTTTTAGGAAACAAGGATATTTCATTTTTCTTTGACTTTTATTTCCGTTTTTCATGAGCAATTTTTTAAATTCTTAAAGAAATTTGTCTAAATTTATTATATTAACTTATGCTGTTTATTATATTAGAACCAAATAAAAGGATATTCTATATTATTAATTTCCATTTTATATTATTATCATAATACAGTCATACATTACTTCTGATAATGAAGTTTCTATATAATGAAGACCGCAACATTAACCATTGATGACCTGAAGTAAATTTAAAAAAAAATACATTGAACTCATTGTTTTAGTGAAAATGATCCTGATTCACGAAGAAGTGTTATTTTTAAAAGATCAGTGGTGTTAAATGCAATAATTCCAATTATTAAATGAAAGAGAGACAAGCTCAATTTGTATTGTCCGATTTCGAACTAAAAGTTCGTTTAATTTATCCAGAACCCATTTATACAGCTTTTTAACCTTACGGATTTGTTTCAAAATGTAGCAGTAACATTAAAACTTACTGTTAATTTATACTGCAGTTTTCATTTTGAAAATCAGAACCGCCAGATCGGCATTTCTCAAGCCATCGACGTACTGTGCATTCCACATCAATGCCTAACACATTGAAACTTTGAGTTGTCTGCACTGCACAATGGAGCTTATATTCGAAAATAACGCAAATTTTGAATTATCCGTGATTTGCTAAAACATAATCTGCTGAAGAGTATTTGAAAAATAATCACAAACCAAAATATGTGTCAGAAAGGATAATGAAGTAGTAAGAAATATCAGTGATATAGTTGTTACTTTGGCAATCGGACGTTTCAAACTTAATGATTTATGTATAATTTCACCTGTTTATTTAATAAAACTTTTAATTTTTTTACGAAAGAATGTATCCACATTCTGAAAACGAAATTTCGTTAACGAAGTAATTTCGAATAACATATGATTCTTTCTACGTCCAAGTGTAAACAAAGTAAATTGCTTTACTGATTTATTGCTTTGCAAAACTCATCAGTAATTTCAGTTTAGTTTCAATTTGCGTGTCACTGTGTTCAAAATTTGTTGTTAAACAGTGTTTAAGTTTAAAGCAAAATTATTTGTTTACTATTTATTCTATTAAAAGGTAATGATAACAACTAATTATTTTTAAATTAAATGCTCCTAAGTCCATAGTGACAAGATTAAAGATTAATTATGAATCGTTTAAATATTAATTTCCGAGATATCGTATATAAAATGTTATAGTAATCTATGTTAATGTGTGCAAATACGCAATAAGTGTAATTTTCCAATTATTTCATTTAATAATATTTATATACAGACAACTCAATTATCACTTCTAATTATTAACATTTTCAGCCATTAAATTATGATTATATAAAGTTATGTTTAATTAAATAACAATTTTGTCATTGATACATCAATTATAAGTTTCTTGATAATCTACTATTTTTATGGAAAATTTTGTAGTTAAATTTAAAATAATTTTGTTTCTAGTTAATTTTTAAAAGAATGTATGTTGTGTATACTTTACAAAATTTATAAAAAAAGATGAATAGGAAAAAACTATACCTGTATTTGAGTATATTGTTTTTAGAAAGATTTCTCTTGACATAAGAAATAATACGTCAGGAGTTAATAAGTAGTTTACATATCGAGATAAGAAAAACAAATAAATGATTGCACTTATATGTCCGTACGTGCTCAGTCCTGTGACGCAATTAAAAAATTGTCGGCGTTAGACCATTTGCGTGGTTGTAACAATTTAGAATTTACAAAACAACGCATTTTATTAGTTAATCTTAGCAATTGAGAATAATAATACGGATGTAGGAGACGAACATCAGCGATGTGCATTCATTTTCACGATTCGAGCAACTTGCATGAATGATTACAGTGACAGCGTTATTTCATAGATTAATATAATCTTATCAATATCGTGAAGATAAGGCTGCAAAATCATTAACAGTTTAATGTCAGGACATTTGTTGTGGAACAAATGTCGTGTCCTTATTAATTTAGTCCAATTTGGTTAAGTGGGACGAATGCTCACTACGCGACGGTGAGCCTCTCACTCGTATCGTATCAGTAACATCCACTTACTTCCTGAAGGATGTCCAGCACTCTTAAGCGGGTCAAAAGTTTACTTTTGCCAAAATCATCGCCGACTTCCGACGATGATCTGCAACCGGAAATTGGCTTCAAAATCACACATAACGACGCAAATAATGAGTTAATCGTGAAAGTGTTAAGTGCAAGAAACTTACCATCATCTTTCGGAAACATCAAACCTCAAGGTTATTTAATTAAGGTATGATTAATTTGTTTCTGAAAATAGCAATAACTGTTATAATTATGCATTTATGATAAAACATTTTTTTTAAGAAAATTCAATTATGTATTAACTCAACTATTATCAAACTGCAGCCAAAAGCATTCAGCGCAGATTAAGGATAAACGTTTGAAGAATGGCTTCAATTAAAATACATTATCCACTAATAACGGTACAAAGAGCTTGTAAATTGAGCGTGGTTATGAAATTATATCCATATTGAAGTTATTAAATCATTAAAATCCATACTGCAAGGCGTAATTGAATAATGACAGATCGCTGTTTACTTACAGGTGAAGGTCTTTCCGGGTAGAGAAAAATATGAAACTGAAGTGTGCAAAGGATCTTGGCCTTGCTATAATAAGGAATTCAAATTTCCTCTGAACAGCTCATTTTCGGGAAAATTCCTGACGCTCACGGCGTACGCGAATCTCACCCAAGAAGAAAAGAAACCCAAATTGATATCAAGAGCTTCTTTCAAGGAACACATCGAAGCTTTCGTCGGCGATAAAGATGATACACAGATGAGGAAATCCGTCAAAAGATCACAAAGCAACAGGTTTTCGCTGAACAACAGGAGATTAATTGGTGCGGCTTCGTATAATTTAGAATATAAAAATTTCACTCTCAATGGTAAATCAGGAAGGGCTACTCCTGATATTTGGAGAAAGCTTGAAAACATCACTAGCGGAGTGCAAACAGAAAGAGTAAATAACTTAAAAACAATATATTATTATTGAAATTAATTTATCCTTTTTTTTATAGAAAGAAGGTCGAAATGGAAGCATCGAAGTGACTATGTCATATTCAAACAGCGAGGATGGAAAAAACGATTCGATTATGGTTTCTTTAAACAAACTGAGATGCAGCATGCAAACAATGCAAGAACACGAAAAACTAGGAGGTAATTATTTCAAAATCTGTAAATCTGTTGCAATACTAGTGAATTTTAGGTAATTTGTATATAAAAATGGAAGTATACGAGTTTGATGTTCTTATTGCGAAATGGAAAAGTGACGAGTTTCCGCCGACGATAAGCATGAAGATTGAATCGAAAACTGCCACTATGCATGCCACCGTCAATAACTATAATCTGGATCGGATAAAGATCACCATCCGGTTAAAATGCAAGAACAAAATCAATAAGAAAGCAAAGCTTGGAGAAATTGTTATCGATAATCAAAGCTATATGTGGAAGAACGTTCTGGAATCGCCTTCAGTGCCATCGACTCTAATGATGAATTTTGAATAAATTTTGTTAGGTTCACATTACATACACTGACGCTTCAATTTTGGTAAAATTTCGTTGAAAATGTAAATAATTTAAAGTAAAAAAAAACAAATATGCTCAAATGTCATTAGCATCAATATTCATCAAAGTCTATATTAATTCTATGAAGGTAGCAGTTAGAAATAATGGGATACACGTGATATTAAAATAAATTATTTGCAACGTGTTTCAGCAAAGTTCAAATTAATTGAAATTATCAACTAATTATTTGAAAAACTTTCGGTCGATGATTAATTGGTATCCAATGGAACAATTTATTATATCATATCGTATTTTTTTAATAGTCAATATACATTAGTATTATATTTTATTTTAATAAAGTCTAACCTGAACATTCTTGATTTTAATTCCATATATTTAATAAGTTCAAGTAAAATTCGTGATATTTGTATGTGAGAAATGCATTTATTAATTGGTCACCACAGGTTTTTTTTGAACTTACATAAAAGTCTATATCGTTCACATTTCTAATAAAAAAATTGTTGATCTATAATCAAATTTATTACAAGTTACAAAATTATACTTGGAACAATAAACAAAGTAAGAAAATAAATCAAGATGAGTTTGGAACCATTGCGGCGGGCTATTGATAACCGTCTAATAATATCCAAAGTTTATTTGTGAAAGCCAAAATGTAGAACGGAAAACAACTTTGACCTTTCTTCTGACTGTTAAACCAGACATTTAAGAAAATTACAACAACAAAAAAGACATAGTTATATTTAGAATTCTGGTGAAGCGACATATATAACTTATTATAACATATTCGTTGTTAATTTACTAACATTCAAAATTGACAATGATTGATGGCATTTCTTATGATTAAAAATTGTTACAAAGTTACCATTATTAGAGAAAAAATAATGTTTTCTCTCTTTAATTAAAGAATATAAATTATTATATTTTTCGAACCTTAGACTCACCATTTTATGTAAAAATTCATTAGAATTTGGTTGTATTGTAAATATATGAACTGTACAGAAATTTTATTAATAGAGTAAATCAAATAGTATAATATCAAAATTAATTTCAATAACCATGTTATTAGTAACATCCATTGAATATAGTATACTGATATCAATTAATATGGTATTAATTTGCTGAAGATACAAATAAATATAATGAAAAGTATATATAAAGAGACCTTAATCATTTTATAATATGCCTCAAGAAATAACAATTCAGATGAAACTACAATAAATTATTTATTCTTTGACCTGGATTCTTCTATTCTTAAATGTATTTAACGTAAAATCTACAGACCTTTTAGATGAGACACGATTTAAAGTACTTAATTAATAATTTTATTTTAATTATTAAAATAAAAACAAATATGTTACAAGTTCAATTAGAATATTTTGTAGATAAATGCTAGACGAGAGAAGAAATAATGAAAAATGAACACAATAAACAATTGTTGTAGGTATATGAAAGAATCAAATAACGAGGTTAAGAAGTGACATTAATTATTTGCACATTCGTGACCGATATTATTACATGAGTTCCAATGATGCCGAACCGGATGACGTAAATTCATATTTCATCAGCACAGAACATAGGGGTAACGGAATATGAATGTGCATATCTGAACTGTATAAGATCATATTGCAACAGCACAAATTAATGATCGTTAATTAATAAAAGATCATATAGTTCCTGAGGTCAACGATAATTATTGATAAATAAACAATTAATCTATTAGATCGCATAGAAAATAATTACAAATCCTATATGTTGGCTATCATAGAATGGAAAAACCAGTATCTTGACATTTCAGTGATATTCTCCAAAACAATAATTGTTAGAATGAATCCAAAAGATACATATGAAAGATAAATATATGGAGAATGTAGCGAGTATTCAAGTATTTCTATGGTTGCGTCCATTAGGCGTTGAATTAATGAAAAACGAAGCTCGAAAAAGCATTGTCTTCACATTTTAGTGATTTTCTCATAAACTCTAAAGAGATTGGATCCAAAAGATGCATATGAAATTTGGGTAATTGGGAAATGTAGTAAGTATTTAAATATTGCTGTAGTTGCTACAATTCAAAGTTGAATTAATGAATAACTAACATATATTTTTTTTGAAAAATAAAGGCAAGATATTTAAGTCGCAACAGCCCAAAATTAATGATCCTTAATTATTAACAGATCATATAGTTCCTGAGGTCAGCGATAATTATTGATAAATTAATGTGTCTGCAAATGGTGATGCAATGTTATGATGGAAAGTGCGACTATGGAAATTACATTATAAAAATAATAGAGTTTTTTGGCAAGATTCAATCATAATTATAGCTGAGGTGCATGCAATTTGATTATTGTCTTGTTTTATTATTATTATGAGCATTCCGTTTCGAAATTGGATGCGTAATAGCCTTCGCTTTGGTATTAATTTACCTAATTATTCGATGACATTGAGATAAGTATATGCAAAGATTAACATATCATTGCAGCACCTAAGATAATCTCGTGGATGCACGCATTTGCTCACCGCTTAAGGAATTATAATTGCAGATCCTTTTGACAAATATACTGTATTTACGACAATTTACGCCATTATTGCAATTATACCATATGCACTATAAGGAATGATTATCAAAAATAAAAAGACAGTTTTGTAATCGGCTGAAAATAGACATGTTTTATAAAGAAAATAAGCAATAATTATTTGTATATTTTTATTTAAAACATTCACGCTTTTACATATTATCGATAAGTGCTTAATTACTTCCTATTAGTCAGAACTATAACATTATATAGATGGATCTGTTACAAACAATGTTCATTAATCATTATTTTATTAACTCCATTAAAAATATAATGTTGAATGTTGATAATATGTAAATAGTCAACGTTTCTGATAATTTTACTAGAATATCTGCTAAAAGCAGTTCGAAGTTAAGTTTTCTATTTTGAACGCTTGTCAACGAAATGTATGTATCAGCATTTTTTTTCAGTATATCTTTTAAAAACACACATTTGAAAATATTATCTTCATCAGACCTGACAACATTTTGCTTTAGTCGTTTTACTAAAATTGTAGATATCTATATACACTCTCAACTATGCACAATCAATAAACATATTTATTTAAATGATGTACAAAAAAAAATGGTTGGTATATACCAGGGGTTTCCAAATTGTGCTGTACTACAAGGGCGCCCCAATTCTGATATATTTATATAAAATACTCCCTGAGATATACCAATGTTTTGATTTAGCGCGTTGCAAAAAAATTCTGATATATTAAGGGCCCAAAAAGTTTGTGTACCCCTGATTTATACAATAGTATAGGTAATATTAATGACATACATTTTCTTAAATTATAAAGTAAAATAATGTATCATAATAATTAGACTATAAGATGCACCTCAAATTTGGAGACGATTTATTGAAAAAATATTTAAATTATACCTTCGAACCATAAGACGCATCCAAAATTTGAGTCCATTTTTCTAAGTGCGCACGGAATGTTTTCTTGTCTTTACTTAGCAGTTTTAATTGATCCTCTTTTATTATCCATTTTCGAACTATTTTCTCTGTTGGTGGTGGACCAAAATATCTTTCTGCTGCTCTGTTTCCATATTGTTTTGTATAATTGATCACATTTAGTATATAACTCATGTTATATGAAAGTCTTTTTTCTTTATTATCAAATTTAGAGACGATTTATTTAAAAATATATTTTAATATTACTTTCAGACCATAAGACGCAAAATTTGAGTCCATTTTTCTATGCAAAATGGTGCGTCTTATAGTCCGAAAAGTACGGTAATTTGTCTTTGTTTGATTCCATAGCTAATTTTCGTAAAATCTCTGCATCTTCATAGAAAATGAACCGTCTATAAAATTGTATTATATTTTGTATTATATTTTTTTGATAAAATTAATTATATAATTTTGTAAAAGTAAAAATTTTAACATTTGTCTACAGATCAACTTGATTGATTCCATAATTAAATCAAAATGATCATATTTGCACTCTAATGTGCACATTTTTGTTAAAATGTAGAATAAAAAATGTATAAAAAAAATAAATTACTTGGATTAGAATATGAAAAGTAGCCAAGCTTGTTACTAAGTCAATAGCATACAAAAACTCCAAATTTCGTTGTTCTTGCAATTTTCTATTCTAGCACATATACAGAAAATATCCATGACGTCATGTAAGGAATATCGTTTTTTTGCATCGGAAGCAATGACAATTTTTTATGGGAATTTCCTTTTTTAATTAGTATTACCACATCAGATTCGGTTTAAATATGCGCTATATACTATATAAAACGCGAGAATGTAGTGAGAGAATGTGACGAGTTTCGAAACGCAAACGCATGGTGCGTCCTAGCAGTGGCGTAACCGGTTAACTGACAATTACAACTTCTTTTTATTATTATTTTTTCTGCGAACGAAACAAAATTAAACACCGCACTCACAAAAATTGTATGAACTCTTTAAGCAAATGTTGATATAATAAATTTTAAAAAAAAACATGCCGTCGTCTGCATGTCCTTTTTAAATATGCATTTCTGTTGCGTTTTATGTTTAACATTTTTTTCGTTTAATAAAATCAATAAAAGATATTTCGGTTCATTGATCCGTTTACTTTTCAAATATTTACAACTAAAATTTCTTTGCAAGCATTTCATTCGTATATTTAAGACTAAATATTGTTTGTGTTTTCTTTTACCATGTGCATATAAAATTAATATGAATATGTAAAATGCACTTGTTTATTATAAACAAATTGTTTTGTTTGAGTAAAAATAAAACGTTTTTTTTATGTAATTGATTATTAACTAATTTCTCGTCTGTTTACACAATCAATATGCTAATTTGAGCATGAATAAACAATAAATCATTATTTAATACTTGGAAATTTTTATTTTGAAACCGTAAATAATATTTCTACTTACTTACTACATCTAAAAAAATTATAAACTTAAATATTTAAATTCTAATTGACTTATTTAACCTTAACAATGAAGAAAAACTTAAATAAAAAAAACATAATTAACAAACAATTATTTTAGAAAATTTACCAGTGGTTAAATTAACAAATCGGTTTTTCTTAACGTGGTTTTTCCAGGACACGATGTTTTTTCAGAAACATATCATCATAATTCTATATTTAACACGTTAAAATACGAAAATCATGCAAAACGTGAATATATTTTAATCAGTTTAAATAAAAAGAAAAAAAAATAGGAAATAAGATCAAATTAACATCATTATTAAGAAATACAATATAATTTGCTGTATTTATTCATTCTAGTAATGAATTTTATACTACTTATCTGATAACATTTTCCAACTAAAAGAGTCTTCAATATCACAAATCAGATTAACCTTTGCTTGTGTAAAAAATCACAAGAATTTAATTTAAAAAAATAATTTTCAATTCAATTCAATAACTTATATTATCTAATTTTGCAATTTTAGAATTTAACTGGGAATAGACAATAGACTGATTCCATAATCTAAATTGGATTATATTAGATTAGTGATCTATGGAATGTGTTTTATCTGTAAATACTTTAAAATTATTTACCACTTTTCTATCTATTGTGACAAAAAATACCATTTTCTGTTGATAACAAAATAGGTTTGACTATTGTTTAATAATTTAATTAACGTTGCTGTTGGTATTTCTTTTAAATCTATAAATATGGTCATAATGTAATGAAATATATATTTGGCAACTCTTGACGTCTTTTCAATAACAATACAATTGTTTATGTTTTCATTAATTACGTGATTCATTCAGATTATTAATCATATGAAAGTATATTTAATTTTTTTATAAATATTATTACAAGTTTTACAAGATTCAAGAGCTGTTTTTAGTATGTGCTGTTTTAATACGTAGTATTAAGACTTGTTATTATAAGAAATCGAATCGGCTCTACTCTGTTACCTTTCTTGAGTTGGCTCCCATCCAAGTGTTCGCTGCTTAACTTTCGTAAGTTTTAAGTACCATATGGACTATATCCATCATTTACAAATATTTCTTCATAACTTATTATTTTCGATGTTTTTTTTTTCATGATTATTTCCAAAGATTCATTTAAAAAAAATAACAAATAAGATCAATAACGTATTTAGTCACAATTACTTTATATTAATAGTTTGTAATTAACTTTGTAAAATGCGCAAAATAATTAATCTGCAACATTAATTATAAAAAAATACAACAGCGTTAATTTATAAATAATTCATTATAAACAAAATCATATTAAAATGACCCCAATTAATCTTTATTATACTTACATTATTTTTCATCTAAATGATTAATTATTGATACTATATTCATATGTTTTTTTATAAAATCACGTTTTTATATTTATATATCCTCGTCCAGTGTAAACAATATAAGTATAATAATTTCATAAAATATATTCATTTATTTTTTACATGTTTGTCTGCAATTATTTATGTTTCTATATACCTAGCCATTGTATAGAATAACTAAAACTATTAGGAACAGCATTTTCGTTCATTACATTAGTTAAAAATAAAAACATAATCAACATATTAAAATTTATTTTTTCATTGTCTAACTTTTTATAGAATGTCTATATTTTCCATATAATCTAGTAAAAAAATAACTTTTATCATTTTATAATCAATACAATTAATAATCAGGTATAAATAAATTAATCGAAAAGATTAATTAGTAAATAAATAAAAACAACAGTTTCACTAAAAAAAATCATCTGTTTTATATAATAGAAAATGTGGTTGAAAATGTTTAAAGTGATTGTTAGTAACGCCAAGCGCGGTGTATCGAATTTACAAGTGGTAGAGTCAACACATGCTTTAGGGTTTTGAAAAAAAAAGGTCTGAGTGAGGAGGTAGTAAGATGGGTTGTTGTGTGAAAATGTCGACGTCGCATTCAAATTTCCTTATAACTCTTAACGTGTGAAGAAAAGAAGAGCGTGCACTGCTTTTTCCCGCGAAAATAGACGAACGGTGGCTTAATAAAAAGGGAAAGGACTGCTGCGAACAACTCCATAAAACTGTAACTTTGAACTTAGAATGGCAGTGACGCCTCTGATTGCGACTCGTAAACCCACGTCGCTATCAGTTCGGTAACAACCTTAGTGGCATTCGGACGGTGAAACATACAGACTGAACCGCTCCGTAATGATCGTAATATAAAAAAAAAGAATACAAGTTTCCGATCGTAGCTGTAGTTTCAACAAAATGAATTTTATCATTTTAATAATGATCGGCATCGCATATAGCTTAATTAAAACGGACGTAAGTAGTTCAATTCTTTTTGTTAATTCACTTTTCATCTCAATTCAAATCAGACAAATAATAACAACAACATTGGAGACATCTCCGCTTATTGAATACAACAGGTTTTGTAAACACCTACAGCTTACAAAACCTGTATTAGACTTCATTAAACAAATTACTTTATAATCATAGTTTATAATTAACATTGAAAAATAATGTTTAATTAGTAATAACAATTAGTCTAGACAGTTTATATTATAATTAATAAATACAAATATTATAAGCACATTTTATTGTTAATTTTTTTAAGTTAATTCAAGCAATTTCTGCTCAATTCTATTTATTCTATAGGTACAATGTTTTATCAAGGAATTTTATTCATTTCTAACTTATCACGAATTCTTTGAATATTAATTAATTTCATATCACTACATATTCTATATCGCAAAGTAAATATCTTTTTTTTTTAATTTATATAAATCAAGGATTATTTGAAAATATTTCTATGAATTGTCCTGGTTATTATTATCTGCGTCGTTCACATCAAGTTTAAAACAATATTTGTAAAGAGAAAGCACGTGCAAAATAAGATAAGTAAATTGTTTATATCTAAGTTTAATTTAATTATCATTTCTCAATAATCGAATACATGTTTAATTCAAAGTTATTATTGATTAATTTAGTTGTTTTTTTTTTAATCGATTTTAAGCAATAACCACAAGTCAATACTATATAAAATGTAATATAAAAATGATATAAATTATAAACTTTATTATAAAGTTACTTGATTATTGCGATTGTTAAATTGCAAAATCGTAGTTTAACTAAAGTTCTCACTTTTTCTACTATAATGCTGTTAAAACTATAAGATTAGGATGAAACTTTTTATTATTTATTTCAAATCTTTAATTTTTCCAAAAAAAAAGGATACATCTATTAATTTATTGTATACTATAAAGAGAACAGGTTTATTGTACTAAGGTCGAAAAGTGTTGGCGGAAACATATCCATTTTTATACATGATTTAAGTTGCTCAAATTGAATATATAATTATTATTACCAAAAAAGGAGAGCGAAATTATGTAAATTTTACGGAACGTACTTTATGAAATGAAGTAAATAGTGCTTTACATTTCAATGCAAAACATGTCCATTCTACAAGTGATCATAAATTGTCCGTTTACGTACGTCGTTAAAGTTTTCGTACAGGTTTTTCTTTCTTTGTTAAATATAAATTCGCAATTATTGCCATACACGTGACTATAAATAAGGATTATATTTGCAGACTGCAACGAGCAAATAATTTATCATAAAAAATAAAAACGCGCTCGATGTTCATGAACCTTTATCAGATTGTTTTCATGTTAACAACATGTGCAATATTTATCGGTTTATTTACGCGCAAAGAGGATCGAGTCGTCGTCCACTCGAGAAAAATATAAAATGTAAATAAGTTTTGTACTATTTTCATTCATACTTTAAATACACGATTAATATGAATTAGTATTTATATCTATGATTAATGTGCATTATTCGTAATGATGTATGCAAAGTTGTTTAATAATATGGTTTTAAATAACTTTGGGATTCTAAAATGGAATAAAGAAAAACGCAGTTTCGAATGTTTTGTGTTTCGTTTTATTAATACGGAATTTCGTAAATACCGGTGTGTTATTTTGGGTGATTACAATGTTTGAAAAAGATGCAAGCTGTTATTCTAGGTTTTTTTTTTTGGTTGCATTATAATAATTGTATAAATACGGTGTTTTGTGGTTTAGGTAATTAATTTAATTATATAGAATTTAGGTAGAAGAAAGGAGAAAATCTCATTGTGTTCAGCACCGCATTCGGCTTTAGTCATGGGAAGATGGGTTTAAATAATGCACATGTAAAATACACCTACGTGTATTCTGCTATTGGCCGCAGATAATGGCCAATATCTTATATATTTCACAATGAGGACACAGAATTGAATTGATTGCCGATTTCCGTGCAGGCAATCAATTTTACAACCATTATATCAGATACAGTTCAAGCAATTGAAATAAATTGATTTTATTCGCAATTTGCGCGCCGATCGAATGAAATATCCTTCTCAATAATGTCATTATCATTGTACAGGATGTCCCCAATACTACGCGTGCATTGGCAAATATAATTGTTGCGTTCATTCATAAGCAATGTATGAATCATGGATAACTTAGAAGGAATGGTGAATCCATTTCTTGCACTTCTGGAACATTGATAAGAGTAATTTGATATTGCTGTTATCGTATGTTATATACATTGATATTCATTTACAGGAACCTGATTTTCTTTCTTTTTTTATTCTCGCTATTACAGGCAACAAAAATATCAACATCAGCAACGTCGATAAAGCTACCAGACACGATGGAGTCACAGGGAAACGTGAGCTTGTATTCAAAGTGGACCAAATGGTCGAAATGTGATAACTGTTGGCAAAACAGAGTGAAAACGTGCATCAGTCCGAAATGCAGGGAATCGCGAATGACCGAAGAAAGGCCTTGCGACAGGAAACGTTGCCTGCGACAAAAGCACATGAAAAATGTACAAAAAAGACTGCATATCTTTAAGGAAATCAAAGTATTTATAATTCATTTATATACGTGCGTGTATTTAATTTGAAATATTTAAGAAGCCAAAAACGAAAACTACAGAACCAAGTATTTGGAGCAAATGGTCGAATTGGAGTCCATGCAATGAACAGTGTTTAACAGAGAGGTACAAGAGTTGCAAAAAACCGGGCCGGTGCAAAATGAAGCAGAAGACCGAAGTGGCGTATTGCTATTTGGAAAATTCCAATTGCAAATTCTTCATAAATCAATTGCTGTACGGGCTGAATTACAACGGGCGATACGAAGGTAGTAAGATCGTTGCACAACGTTCATTAATATAATAATAATAGTTTGCGTTAGAAATTAGTCCGCTTCGTACGACCACGGAAAAGCCGAGAAAGACAAGGAAGAGGAAGCCTTTGGTGAAGCGCTGCGGACGTGTGCATAGAAAACAGAATATGCTGAAAATAATAGGAGGAAGAGATGCAATTAGAGATAAGTGGCCGTGGCATGTGGCAATCTTTAATAAATTCGATGTAAGTATTAATTAGGTCATAGCTGATTCTTCCAGCAGCCATAAAAAATTGCAATTTAATTGAAACCGCTCATTTAAACCACATGTTTGAAAATTAATACACAGTAATGCATCTCGTAAACAAATCTAAAGCAGGAATCTTTTTTGCCCTCAAAGTGAATTATTTTTAGAAAATCTCTAATACGGTGACCGGTTTTTATGGCCAATGACCTTTGACCAATGACTTCAATATTACTGCAAATAAATTAAAATCTGTTTGTAATCCAAAACTTTATCTACTTCAATTTTTATATGACTATGATATCATCAATAATTAAATCTTAAACTTGCTAAAATTACTATTCTCATTTAAACCGTTTTAAGTCTTATTTATCTATCATAAATCAACAAACATATTAATTGTTAGCGAAAATTCAATTTCCATCTAACTATATTTTTTTTTATTAAATAAATATTAAAATTATGTAAAAGTACATCACAGAATTGAATAAATATGTATGTCCAGACGATGAGAAACGATAAGTACATGGCGTAATATTTATTTTTAGTTATTTGTATAGTTGAAGGAAAAAACATTATTTTTTTATCATACAGTCCACAGACGTCATGTAATGCATATATTATGTTAATAATTGTGGATTTCGTATTGATTTAGGAGATGATTTGTTCTGGAACATTGGTAGCTCCACGTTGGGTTCTAACAGCAAATCATTGCTTGCGACCGATACTGATTGTTAAAATCAATGAGTATGACTTGGATAGACCCGATTACGGAGAGAAGCAGTTTTACGTGGTGAAGAAATTTCCACATCCAAAATATGATAAGCAGAAGGTGCACAATGATATAGCTTTATTAAAATTACCAAAGGCAGTGAACCTGCCAGCAGCTTGCCTTCCGACAAGAGAACCTATCTATGAAGAGCAATGTTCGATAATGGGCTGGGGAAAGCTGAAAGACACCGATGAAAATGGCTCGAATATTCTTCAGGAAGCTAAAGTAGTTATTTTATTTATAATGTAAGCATATTTCATACAACTTTGCGTTACTTTCAGATACCTATAGTGAATTCCACGACGTGTACACGAGCGTACCAGCATTTTAGTATAACACCGAGAATGCTATGCGCTGGATATCCGCATGGAAGAATTGATACGTGCGGTGGTGACAGTGGAAGTGGTCTAATGTGTTCTTACAAATATCGCGGGTATACGGTGCAGGGTATAACTAGCTTTGGAGAAGGATGTGGTCTACCAAACAAATACGGTATTTATACAAATGTGTACAAATACGTCGACTGGATTCAACAAACTATTAAGTCTAACAGAAAAGCTAACAAATTGGTGTGAATAATCGTATTCAAAAAAACCACAAATTATAATTTATTATCCTATATTTTACATAGTTTATTACCAAATACAATAATTTATTTTTATTGTTATTTTCTTTAACTGTCAGCTTTAAGTGAAAGGTAAGGACATTTGTCAAGTAAAAATAAAGATCAAATCAAATGCGTTTATTAAAAGATCCATCAACTACCATATTTCACACAGACATAACATACACACAAAAATAAATAAAGTAAACATTAAAATACTGTTTCAAAAAGGTTCTGAAGTAAATTCTATTTATCCCAGAGACCCAGTTCTTTCATTTTAGTCTGGAAATAGTGGTTCAGATGCATAGCGCATTGATAATACTCTGTTTCAGGCGAATTGTAGATCTTGCAGTTGGTGAATATCCTCATCATATCAGCCACAAATAATCTCCTCGTAACATAATATTTCGCTTTCAGCCTTTCAGTCATTGTTTTTAAATCTATAAATTATCATTACTTATTGAATCATCTGCTATGAAAATCACTGCTTACCCATGGGATACTTTATGTGGTCGTAATAATCAGGAACTCGGTTTTTATCTACGGGTAGTTTAAATGGCCAAGAATCCTCGTGATTCTTAACTGCGTTGAGAACAATTTTTAACATATTCGTGAGTGTATCAATATCCTGCGATTCCTCCATTTGTTGACCACCTCTAGTCGCTCTAGCTGCTGGCCTCCAAGTTGTCTCAGATATTCCCGGTATAGATTCTATCGGTATACTTTTTACACCTAAAATAACCATATTTTTTTTTCAAATTTGAATGTTGTTGGAAATTACTACCTTCTTTAAAGAAAGTTAATCCTTGGTATACTTTGGAAATACCCTGTTGCTGCTTATACAGCAAATGTTTGACAATCTTTTTCTGTCTCATAACAATCGAAGTAAACTTCGTGTAGATAATTTTCGGATTCAGCTCGCAGTGCATCAACGTTGCGCCCTCGTAATCCTTAATATATCCATGGTATATCCCTCTAAACATTTTGATGTCTTTAGAGAAACCCTGCTTTTCGAAATACCCTAAAAAAATAAAAACATGCTTACCTATAACTAATATAGCAAACAAATTTTACCAATAGCTAAATCATCGGCAAAGGTTAAAAAATTTAAAATATTTTTCCTTATATGAAAATCCTTCAAATGATTCATCATATGCGTCCCATATCCCTTCACCTGTTCAGATGAAGTAACTGCACAAAATACAATCTCGGTGAAGCCTTGCGTTGGAAAAGTCCTGAAGCAAATCCCGCCTATTGGCTGATTGTTTTTAATTAAAGCCAATGTACGATGTTTTCTGAAAATTTATATTATAAATAAACTAATTGTGATATTAAATATTATTGAATTTACGGATCAAATAAGAATTGCGTAATGTATTCTTTTGGCATATTCGGAAGTTGATGAGAAACTACATTCTGCAATCCTATTAGCCAGAGCATCGTCTGTTTTGAGACTGGCTCAGTCAAACTATTTCCAATTACGTGAAATTCAATTATTTTATTTCTTTCTTCCAATTTCGCCGATTCATCTGGAGCTTCTTCAGCAAAAACCTGGAAATAAATATTAATGTAATTATATACAAAAAAAATGTAGATTAAAAGTTAATATATATCATATTTTTAATTATATTACATCTGGCCCTATCATGTAATTGGGATTATCAATTGTAAGGATTATTTCTGCTAAATTTTCTTCAGATAAATTATCAAAATCATCATCATTTGCTTTCCTTCGTTTACTTCTTGGTGTAGTATTATCCAAGATTCTTCCGTTATTAAAACCATCTTTATCGATAGCGCAAGTTTCTGAAATCCTTTCTGTAATTTCATATAGACTTTACTTTTTCTATACTATATAGTTTTTGAATAACACTTACTTTTTGATTTGTTATTCTCTATTAATGTTTGAATATGAATAGATGGTGGTGGTTTAAATTCTGGATCCCAAATAGGTGAGTTATTACTATATATTTCATTATCAAGTACATTTAAAAATGATGGAAAATGATTTAAAATCATCACTCTCCTTTCAACTGGCATTCTCTCCCTAAACTGATGGAATTGATCCATAATCTGTTTGCGCACGTATTTAAATACAGCGCGTAGCAATATCTTTCCAAAAACCATGGTTGTATCATAATATTGCAATGAATCACAGAATGCTGGTATATGGCAAAAAACGAACCATCGAGTATAAGCTTTCTTATATGTCACAGCCTCTTCTTGACTAACTATTTGCTTTTGGTTACTTGGTGCTGGAAAATCCCAAGTATTGAAGCAATGTAAAAATATTTTAGCAAGTTCATGCATTGTATTCCATTCCTGCTGAGATAGATGAGAGAACTTGTACAAGACAAAATTGGTAACAGCATTGTGAATTGAAGGCTTTTCAAATGGAGGTTCACCTAATGTTGCTTGTATGACTGGAGTTTCCATTGTCAAAATTGATTTAACTAAAAGCTGAAAATAATAAATTATAATAGACGTTATCATTTGTAATGCATCAATATTACAGTAAATAAATAAGTATAAATATTTTTTATTTCATCATTGTCCTCTCTCTTCTTTGCAGTATACATGTTTTCCACATCAACTACCATTCTTAATAATTTATTTATATCTTCTTCACTTTTTGATCTTAAATGTGAGACATGGGATTCTGAAAAGTACTACAATTTATAGGATTCTTTATAAATTGTATTAATAAAATATACCTAATATGTGTTCACATCGGCATACATCTGTAAATAATGGTGAAGCTGTGGTAACTTCTGGTCTTTTCCAACCAGCACAACTGCATGCTTGTTCCTATATGATTATAAATATTATTTTAAGCAAACTCAATTGATTATTATACTATGTACCTGGCACTTTGAATATGTTGCAAGCTTTAACAGTTTCTTGTTGTGAGGAAACGATAAAACCATCTGTTTTCTCTGTCTTATTACTTGCAAATTAGCTTGTCTACTTGCTTGTTGATCAGGTTTGGGGGCTGCAGGAGGTGCTTCAGTAGACTGCATTGTTGTGGTGATTGATACCTGAGATGACTTCTCTAACCCTGACATGTCAATACTATTTTATTACTTAACTTTAATATATTTGCAATTCTCTAAATCACATTCCATAGTGATTTTTAACTTTTGCATTATCTTTACTTAAATTCTACATATTATCACTTTAGTTTATTTACATTTAATTTTGACACTACATAAACAAATATATCATTGCAACCAACATTATAATGAAAAAAAAGTGATGTTTGGTATTGTATTAAAGATAGGTTAGGAAAAGCACGAAAAGCTTTCATTCACTGAAGATTAATTCAAGAGTAACCATCGCGGAGAAGACGTGTTTAAAGAATAAAAATGTCTGCAGTTATTAGAGTTAAAAGGAGATTTGATGAAGATCCATTGGATGCTTTAGTTCTTAATTGTAAAAGAAGAAAAACTAATAAGGAATGTAGTTCCGCCACTGATTTATCTGCAATATTAAAATTTGCAGGAACGACTGAAAGACAGGTAATTTATTTGTGGGTAATCCACAGTTAGATATATTATATTCTTTCTTATTTCAGGAAGATGATGTGCTCCAACATATTAAATGTCAGACAAAATCTAAAATCGAGGAGAACTTTAAAGGAAATAGTTCAAGTATAAAAGATAAATTGAGGGATGAAATTCTATTTTCCTCTAAAACTAATCGATACAAAATAGTCAACTTACGCAGATCAAATACAGCTGAAGACAATGCAGCTNATTTGATTGGGTAACACTATCAATATTTTTTGCATGAAACTTTGCATTTTAATTATTTTATTTTAGGGTATATCCTCTGAGCGATGAACTTGTTTATGGAACTTATAGGGATAATGGATTGATGGATTCAGATAATGAGAGTGAGGATTCTAATGATGAAAATAACTGGAGAAATGATTATCCAGATGAAGAAGATGCAGAGAGCATAACACAAGATGACATGCTGGCAGCAATGAATACAGTAGGATTGGAAGATAAAGAGAACGATTTATCCAGTTCAGATGGAGAGGAAGGTTTTATTTATAGTATTGATAGTGAATCTGCTGGATTTGAAGAAGACATTGATCAATCAGATGTCCATAGATATGGTGAGAGATATGCTAGATTTAAAGCTCGCCATAAGGACTTAACCTCTGACAATTCTGTTGAATATGATTATGATGATGAAGATGATGAATATAAAGAGTGTTATGATTAATTATCTAATAAAATATATTTGTTTAATTTGAATTTATTATCTTTTCTTTTCTTAGTTAAAAATATCTGGCAGTTGATAATTTGCAATTTAATATTAATGGAATGGGTTTTGAAATTAAATGTAAATACAATATACAAATAAATAATTTATTGTCTCCATAAAGGGTAATCACTGTATACCTTGGATTGGTGTTTTAAACACCACAGCTATAACATTAAATCTTAAAATTGTACATTAATATTCATGGAACTGCAGAAAGGATATCTAAAATAAACCGAAGAAGCTTTACAAGATTCGAGTATAAGATATAGATGCAAATTAAATATAATAATGCTTTGGCATATATAAGAATGTTTTTTTTATAAGACAAAAAAAATAATAGTACTGAACTTAATTACATATATTCAAATTATACAAGTAAATAAATCTTTGATTTATACACAATATATCTTATCATATGAAAATTATACAATAATATTAATAAAATATTGCAAATTGAGGACTCAAAAGCACTCAACGTATCCCAGTCGCACTTATCTACATTTCTTTTTTAAACTACATAACAGAATATACGCGTATACATTAGGACTGGCCCATATTAACACTGAATATTTTGTCTTTGAATCACTTATGATTATAATATAACAGAAAGTATTTCTATACAATGTTCAGACCTTCAACAAATGAGATTATTTTACTTTCATTTTACATTTTTATAGCACTGAAGCTTCTGCTGGTCTAGCAGGGGCGTTGTTATTATTTGTGGATGTTGTCGTCACTTCCCCTACATGACTAGAGCAGTAAAACTTCTTGTGAGCAATAAAACTTTTGTAATAGTTAAATGATATATCGCAGGATTTGCAATATTTCGGTCCAATTTTTGAAGCTTCCTGCAGAATTTCTGCATCGCTGTACGCAATAGTTTTCATCTGGTCATCTATCAATTCCTGCTTGATAGGTTCCTCTACTGGCGCAATGATAACTTCGGGCTCAATTGCTTCCTTCTTAACAACAATTTCTTCCTCTTCAACAGAATTTGGGCTTCGAGCCGGTTTTTCTTCTATGCCATTTGTTGGCGAATCATTCGCGTTGTGAACTAATTTGGTGTGTCGAATTACGTTTGCTTTATACACTGAACTATATGTGCACAGCGCGCAATGGTGCAAAGGTTCAACACGTCCTTCAGAACTTGGAGATATCGCCCGATCGTCGATAACACCGGGGACACTCGTCGATTGAGCGACGTTAACCTCGACTACATTGGTACCATCATCTTCCAAGATATAGGAGATATACTTCTCTTCCTAAAAAAATTAAACTAGTTAGTTAATGAAATTAATTCGATTTATTTAGTTTTGTAAAATTTGTTTATATATATTACCTGTAGATCTGGCGACCTCTTATCGAAATGGACTCTTATGTGGGTTCGCATTCCCCTCAATGTATTTCCTTTGTATCTGCAGATGGTGCACCTAAATGCCTTGACACCCGCATGGGATTCCATATGTCTCTGAGCAGCGCTCGCTGTTGCGCTTACGACATCGCAGCATGGACATTTCCACCCTGAGATGGGTATATTCTGAACACACTGGTGACCAGGGTCCGCAATAACTCTGCATTTTCCACATCGTCTTACTTCTAAATCATTACGCTTCAAACAGTAATATGCCTGATGAGCATTCAAATTATCAATTGATGTAAACTTAATTCCGCAAGCCATGCATATTAACTGTTGGTATTGTGCAGCTGCTGGGCTTGTAGTTCCTACGCTACCAGGACTAGCTGGAGGACTGCCAGACGTTTTTGAACCATCATCATCTTGCAGCCTTGCTGAACAGTAGTGCTTTTTGTGTATTATATAATTCTCGTGCTTGCAAAATACAATGTTACATTCTTTGCATTTAGATACACCTTGTTTCACCAGTACTTGTGGCGTAGTTTGTATTGGTGGTATATCAGCAGCTAAGCGCATTTGAAATTCTGGCGGTAAGAGCGATAGAGTACCAGCACGTAATAGAAAAGGATGTAATGGTGCAGAAATTCCATAAGGTGAAGCGTTGTTAGTTTCTGGACTCGGCTGTAATCTATCGTCTTTTGGTGTTATTCTTGCTAACCTCGGACTGTTGCTGCGAGATGATGATTCCAATTGATCCAATTTTCTCTTTGGTGAAGGCGAAGTACCTGTTTGAGAGACTGGCGTGGTCGGTGGAGAACCTAGAGATGGTACGCATTCAATTTTCTCCGGCGTTGGAGTCCTTTTAACGTTTTCTTTCTCTTGTTCATCTATTACGAGATCTTGTGGTGAGGGTGTTTTGCGCACGGTAAGATCTAATGGTGCAGACGAATCCTTGATTGACAATTCTTTTGATTTATTCGCAGATTTTAACACTTCCGTTGCCGGCGTAGAGGCTGCCTGCAGAGCCTGTGTCATGGGTTGGAGGGTTCCGTTGGGGAAAAGGAAGCATGGGGTGTTAGGGGTAGGCATTCCAGATATGTTTGGTAAATTTCCTGGCAAAAGACTTGCACTTCTTATGAGAGAGTAAGGAACAATAATTATAGGATCAGTGGGTAGTGCGAAGAACGGTTGCTGTGTAGGGATTGATGGTGGCGTCGGGCTCTGAGGTGATCTACATGTGTCTACCGGAGATGTGGGCGTTGAACCCGATGTGCAACTCGAAGCAGCTTTGGAACTGGAGGATGGCGCAGCTCCTGTCGTCGCTTGTTTAACCATGTGCCTTGAACTGCAGTAATGTGATTTGTGAGCACGATAAGTTTTTAAAGAACTAAATCGTATATCGCATTCCGCACAGTAGCGGTCTTGTGTGTCTGGGTTAATTTCACCATTTGGAACGACGGCTACACTTGGACTAGGCGAGACAGTGTGCATCCTCATATGTCGATTCAAACTGACTTTCTTGTCTGCACTATAAGAGCAATGCGAACAAGTATATTGTTTTCCAGTCCGGGGAGCTTTAGATGCATTCTCCGATTGATCTTGATCGGATTGGTTGCTGTTCGGTTCCCCGTTTGTTGACTTGTTATCATCGCCTTCGGCGCTCTTATTTCGATGGGAGCAATAGTACGTTTGATGAGCTTCGAGCGTACTCAAAGACGAAAAGCGAATGCCACATGGCTGACAGAAGAATATTGGAATACTCTGTTGCCTTGATACATCTTGAACGTCAGCCACCCCCCGATTTTCGGCGAGCGCGAGCGCTTTTTGTGGCAGTAAAAAGCCTCTGAGCGATGCAAGATATTCAGCTGATAATATGGAATTTTCGTGTTCTTGTTTGAGAGCAACGGCTTGCGACTGTAGGGCTGGGTCTGTAGCTAAATTAGTCTTCAAACGGATCCTTGGAGTGCTGACATCTTCGGACACCTTTGGAGCTGGTTCTTCCTGTTGATCGGCTGGCGATGAAGGAAGCTGCGGCTTCTTGTCTACAGGAGTCTCGGGCTCCGTTGCGGACGCAGATTCAGTCTCCATTGCGCTCGCGTCGCTTCCCCATTCCTCGTCTTCGCCTGCAAAAGAATAAAATGCAAATGTTAATGCAAGTGTTGGTGTACTTGGAAACATGAGAAACGATAGAATCTGGAGCGTTGTGTTCGATAGTAAAAGCAGATAAGTAATAAAATATTGCGAGTGGTGTGCGAGAGTTATAGCGAGGTCGATAGATGAGGAACAGGTTAGTACAAATGCATCGGTTGATAAGAGCGAGCAGTACACGGGTCGGTCATGTTGAACGGGTCCGCTCTAATGAAGCAGTCCGTCAGCAGCCTACGCGAGACACTCCAACACGCCGTCCTCTTCGGCTCACCTCCATACATCACATCACCACTGCGATACGCAACCTATCACACTATCAATACCTTCATTATTAACTATCTTCGACTACCTTGTGCATAATTTTAACATCCACCCCACCACAAACATTTAATACAAATACTTGATGAAACCAAATTAATTTCAAATTTCTTGATAATTCAAAAATATTCCCATTCAAAAGTATGGTAGGCTGACACTACCTATATGTATATTATGCGCAAAAGTTTACGAAGATATTCTTCCTGATATATTTATGTCTTTAGCATTTAGTTTAGATGTTATTTCAAAGCCAACAATTTAAGCAGAATCTAGTTTTGATCAAGATATAATAAAATGTCTGCGAACTGTAAACAAGGAGAGAAGGTAAAAATTCAATAAACAAAGCTTCACGATTGGAGCAGAGTAAAAATCTACGCCGATCGCTATAGAGAGATTAAAGTATATTAGGAATTTAATAAGACGGGGATGAGAATTCTCTCGCGACTGATAGGAATCTTTAATTAGAGTTCGGAATGTCTGTGCGACGATACCGATCGGTTGTGTATTGGCTTAGGGCTGCTGCGTGTGTGCGTTGTCAGATAGAATCTGCCCGGTTATTAATTACTGCTGCCTCCGGGCCGACCAACCGACCGGCTGTGCTCGGCCCTCGATATTATTCCTCCGTCATATGTAACATGCACACATTACTTAACCATTGTCAATCAGCGTGCTAATGGACTCCCGTCATCTCTCCCGATGCTAGGTAGGTAGATAGGTAGTTACCCATCGGAATTCTGCACAACCCGTCGGGACATCATCCCAAGCACCAACAATCCACATCAATAATTGAAAATTACATCTTATTCATGACCGCTCTACGTTCTGGACCAGTCCAAACCGGACCGGACTGAAGAATATGACGATGATCTGACCGGAGGATTCTGTCTTTTGATTGACAACGCCAATGCTACTGAATATTATTACCAAAGACGAATATATCTGATTCAGTATGCAACGATTGGTCGGCGCACATTCCATTTAGAAAGACGTTTCCTTTACGATTAAAACGCATTCTAATTCATCAGCGGATACGATAAACGATCTAAAGCTTCTCGACTTCGTGTTATGTTAAACAAGTGGAGAAGAACAGCGGAGTCGCGCTACGATCCACTCACGGATTATTTTATTCTCCTCTCGATTCCTATTCTTCTACACCCACATAAATAAATTTAAAGAAAACAACAACCTTTATCTGCGATCCCGACGCACAAACCACAAAAAATCAAACAAAAATTAAATTCTTATTGAAGGAAGATCAAAATCAACTATTACTTATTTCTATATAAAAGGTTTGGATATTATAATCTGGGTGAAAATATTATTTTTTTAAATTAATTAAGAAAGATAAATTTGAAATATCATTATTTATGAAAACATGAAGCAATAATATGAACAAAACATGTATAAATGAATTGTAATACCATTGAATTGAATTAATACAAGAATGAGTATCATTCTTCAATTTCTAACACTTAGATTTTTAAATTATATTAAATTTGATTGTTATAAAAGAAGTACAAAAATAGTGAACGTGGCATGATTAAATTTGAAGAAGTACAAAAATAGTGAACGTGGCATGATTAAATTTGAAGTTTGCGTTTGTTTTGTTCGGACGCTCACTTATGCGATCGCAATGAGAGTCGAGGTAGATAAACTAAAATAGCGGATTGTTTATGGCACTTGCAGAGGTATCGGAATTCCAATCATAAATGTTCCTCGACGGTGGCAATAACATTAGAAGAGAAAGATTGACAATCGGAATCGTTCTTCGAATGCCTGAAACAGTTAACAAGTGCGACTCTTCTTGAAACCATTACGTCGCCGCGATGTTAATCATTTGAAAGGTGATCGTGTAGTTATCAATCGTTGAAGTCTCCCAACGGTAACGACTTCAACAGTACCAACACCAAGAGGATGCTGCATTTTTATTTCTACTCTTGCTTTTGTTTCGATCTCAATATAATGATGTCGTGGGTGATGAAGAACATGCGTTATATGCATTTTTTTTTTGTTACTTTCCATCGTAATTTTATCAGCTGGCGAACATTAAATCTCCTACTTTGAGGGTTTGGGTTCCACGCAAGTGATATGCAAATCCTACGAATCGTGACGCACGACATAACTACCATTATATAAGTATGGTATATGCACTTGTGCGGCACAAATAAGTCAATAATATATTCCTGCCGATGGTCGTATTCCCTATGCACATTATTATTTTTTCATATTATTTGATCATACTTAAAAGCATTTTTAATCAATTTACAGGTTTATAGTTTAACGAAAATGCGTCTTGTATAAAGGGGAACGCACAGAACGTCAATTTGTTTGGTATTCAATTACGGTGATAGGTAAAAAAAAGGGCTGGCTGCTGTTTCTGCAGCACAGCATCCGAGCTGATCCGAGATTAGCGCAACGGCCATAGCTATTTGTAAATAGCGTCTGAACTTCGATCGCAACGCAGATTGCGTAATCTGTTCGCTTCAGGTTACATTAAAAAATCACTGCCGACGTATATATATGGCGAAGGCTGCTATTGTATGCTAAACGCCCAATACAATTAGGAGCAATGTCTCTTTGTATTTCGCGCGCCATCAAATATACACCCAGCCATTCCTTCAGGTGTTAACGCACTTTTATCAAGGCAAATATAGAGAATGCAACGTCGAGATAATCAAATACATTGGAATCTTATTAGAATTGAACGGACCAGGTGCTTCACATGTTACATACCAAATACCATACATATCTCGTCACGTCAAGCATACAAATTTGCAAAATTATATTTCTTCAATAGATTTTTAAAATCGTACATCCAAAAACCATCTTTAAAAGGAAAATATAGAATAGCAAAATACTGGAATTATAATTGCGTTTAAAACTAATTCAGGTAAAAAACCAAAGAAATACGTGAGATTGCGCTTCAACGACATATGGAATATACTCGAAATTATTTAATTTAATTATCGTTTTAGTGGTGGAGTGTACTAATTGAATTCCAGAATTTTCTGTAAGTGATTTTCATACTTGGATGCCGCAAAGCAATCGCTATCTGCCGCTGCCTGAGTAAAAAATGAAATAAAATAAAAATAGAAAAGACACGTAAATAAATAAATTGAAGAGAGAGAGAGAAAAGAAAAAAAACGAGCATCAACAGTAAAAGTTAAAATTAATTGATTAAAAGAAGATTTCTACGGTATTTATAGTGACCTTTATCAAAATCTAGCTTACGTTCGAGTTCCGTGCTTTTATTTATCGAGGAATATAACTATGTCGGGCACTTTAAGATCTTCGGCGCCAATAATCATTGAACACACACTGCCTGCCTCGGCGTATTTGTGTTGTGGAAGAGTTAAGAACACTCGATGGTTATCGTTTTCCTTTATTTTAAGTGGATATGAGCATGTGCGTGCGGTTAATATTAATGCCAGAAAATATGCGAGAGGATTTTAGAAGAAATCTAAAAGCACTCCACTTGATTAGATGCAGGCGGAATAAATGGAACGTCGATCTGTTTTTATCAATCATTAAGAAAGAGAAGAAAAAAAAACTAATATTAATTAACGATATTTGTACGTTATCCGTAACCTATTCTACCTGCGGTTATTGGAATCAACGTCCTTGGACGTGTAATGTTCATTTTAGTGTTATTACGTCGGCTGAATTCTACATAAATAATGTTCGATCGTAAAAAGAAAGAAAGGAAGGAAAGAAAAGCAGGAGTGTTAAGAGGATCGGAGAGGATGAGGCGACGCCACCATTATCAGTTTCAATAATTGATTGAGATAGGAGGGAGATGTGTATTAAGAGGTTTCTGGTGTTGGGAGAGAAATGAAAAACGATTCCCATTAGCCGAGATATGAGATATGAACTATGAATGCATTTTCTGTGAGGATTAATCCGAGAGACACACCAGAAAAAAAAGAGAGAATGCGATTTAGAGTGAGTGTGAGAGAGAGAGAGGGATGTTAAATGTATATAACGAAATGGTCGCGTTATCGTTATTGGAGCGGTAGCTGCTATCCCGGTTATTATTAAGAAGGGATGTCGGTTCATGGAAGCACAGGTGATTAGTAACTTCCACCATTCACACAGAGGGAGACAGGCTAATGATTGAGGTACAATCGAGATATGTGCGCAAAGGAATAAAGTGTATGCCGGCGCGCGGGGGCCCTTATCTGCTGCTGCAGCGACGCCTCGGCCTTTTAATCATCCCTTAACACATTTCTCACCTTATCTCTTGCTAAAAACCTTTTGGAAAAAGTCGCGCCCGGGTTAGGTCGATATCGCGTCCAATGTCTGCGGATGACAGAGGTGTGCCCACTGATTTTAATGCGGATAGAATTCGCAGATCAATTTTAGATTCGAAACGATTTATAACTTCCTCTCTTATACACTCAGAGAGACAGAGACGCACGTGCATAAGAGGAGAAACCTCCGAAACGATGGAATCTATAGATCACATTACCATAAGACATTGATTTATAATTATCCGCACGGCCATCGCTCATAATTATATTGCGCTTTTACTATCCACCCTACAGCTCAGAATTGAGGATGCCATCTTTCCAAGATCTACTTCCATTATTTCCACTCTTTTCTGGTTTTCTATCTCCGCGTCCTCCGACCCTTATCAACCCATGCCATTTATTACCCA